TTGAGATTATCGTGAGATTCGGTCCATTTGACGCGCTGTTGCAATGAATGTAAGTAGTCCGATGACCAAGAACGTCAGATCTGTTCGACCATGAGTTGCACGTGTTGCCATCGCGACAACCGATTCGCATTGATTTCGAGTAATGATTTCTCCGGGACGCTGGTGAGCGGTCGGCCGATGAGGAAATGACCAGGCGTCAACGCGGTAAAATCGGACGGATCGTCGCTGAAGGGCGAAATCGGTTGAGAGTTGAGGCACGCCTTTATCTTACATAAAATAATCACAAATTCCGAGCGAGACAGGGTACGAGCACCGATCATTCGCTTGAGGTGGTGCTTAAAACTTTTAACGCCAGCCTCCCAAAGCCCGCCGAAATGTGATGCCACCGGGGGCACAAAATGCCATTATTAAATGCAAATGCCATTTCACATCGTCATTTGCGAGGATTTCTTTGAGGGAAGGATCGTTCATAAGAGAGCGAAAACTGCATTGTAGCTCGCGATCCGCACCCCGAAAGTTCGTGCCATTATCGCTGTACATGTCCGATGGCAGTCCGCGTCGACTGACGAACCGATGAAATGCGGCAAGGAATCCCTCGGAGTAGTCCTCGACACACTCGAGGTGGATCGCTTTAGTGGCGAGACAAACAAAGACCGCCACGTAATGTTTGCTCCCTCTTTGACCACGGCCGACCACGGGGGTAATAATCATCGGTCCGGCGTAATCTATGCCCGTGTGAGAGAAAGGAGGAGAGGGATTGACTCGGGGATTCGGGAGATCACCCATTAATTGCGTCGGCGTTTTCGCGGAGTGTCGAAGGCAGGTAACACATTTATGGATGTGAGATTTGATCATGCTTCGCGCCGAAATTATCCAATATGTCTGACGGAGACATCTAAGCGTGAGTTGTGTCCCTCCATGGAGGGAGCGTCGGTGAGCTTGATCGATCAAAAGTTCAGAAATATGATGTCGTGGGAGTATGACCGGGTGTCGCTCATTGTAACTCAGCGCTGAGTTTTCGAGCCGCCCGCCCAGCCGGATTAGTAAATCTTTCCCGATAAATGGGTGGAGAGAGCGTAATGGACTTGTTCTCGATACGGTGGTATGAGCTTTTAAGACTTTCAAGTCATCAGGAAAGCAGGTCGCTTGTACCGATCGAAGCCAAAAGACCGAAGCTTCGTGGGTCTCTTCTGCGGTCAAAGGCGACTTGACGATCGTCGATGAAGCGACTTTATTTTTTAAGTTTTGCACGAAACGGCGAATGTACGCGGTAACACGGAGAAGTCGGATCCAGCTCGAGCACGAGGTGGGCAGCTCCCACTCAGGAGTTGGATCGACGAGATGAACGGTAGCTTTGCGCGCTTCGGAAAATACCGTTTGCAAAATTTCCTTTCTTGTAAGAATCGGGAGAATCGGCCACGAGGCCGGGGATTTTCTAAGCCACGGGGGGCCTACCTACCATAATTCATGGTGTACGAGATCGACAGCGGTAGAGCCGCGAGAAGTGCAGTCGGCAGGATTGTCGTGCATGCGGACGTGCTGCTAACGTACTGACGGAAGGCGCGTCTGTACCTCGGAGACGCGGTTCGCGACGTAGGAATTCCATCGAGATGGATGTTGCTAAATCCAAGCCAATGCGATTTGGGAGTTAGTCCATCCGAATAATGACGCTTGCGGGAAGCGCAGGGAATTTTTTACCCAATCTAACAACCGAGTTAATAATACGACGGCGTTAAGTTCTAATCGTAAAACGCTGTCGGTTTTTAACGGCGCGACCTTTGTTTTGGCCGCGAGGAGGGTCATCTGAATATTCGTGGTAGAATGCACGATTCGAAGGTAAACGATCGCGGCGTAAGCTCGAATGGACGCGTCCGCGAATCCGTGTAATTCCACTTCGAGTTTATCTTGACGCATCCCTGTCCATCGGGGAATGCGTATTTCACTGATATGAGGCAAATCCGTACAATAATTAATCCAATAAGGTAAAAGATCGTCGGGGATGAGAGTCCCAATCAATTTTACGGAGCCAGAGCTCTTGCATCAACATCTTGGCCGCGATGACGATCGGTGACGCCCATCCGAGGGGGTCATATAACCTTGCAATAAATGATAAAACGGAGCGTTTAGTATGAACCGTTACGGCGTAAGGCGAGATTACAAAGGTAAACGAGTCGTCATGCGGTGACCAAGACAGGCCGAAGACCTTGAGCGTGTCATCGCGATTGATCGGATAGTCCGAGGATTCACGTTGGTCCACCGAAATATCCGTCAACAGTTCGGGTGAATTTTCGGAGGGGAAAACATCCGCGATTCATTAGTCTGACGAGTTGCTTGCGTTTTTTGAGCAGAGACCGAAGGTCGTCTGCTCTGAAAAGAACATCATCGACGTAGGTCGATTCTTCGATTATGGAAACCGCGTCGGGAAAATATTTACATTCGTCACGAGCTAATTGAAGAAGGCAGCGCTGCGCGAGAAATGGCGATGGCTTTTGGCCGTAAGTCACGGTGAGCAAGCGATACAGTCGAATCAACAGACTTGCGGAAGGGCGCCAAAGAATTCGTTGATAATCCGCGTCGTCACGATGCATGCGTATCTGACGGAACATCTTCGCGATGTCCGCCATGTATACGTAACGGAATAATCGCCAGCGTAAAATTATTGCAGCGATGTCTTGTTGTAGCTTCGGTCCCGCCATTAAGTAATCGTTGAGAGTGGTTTTATCGTCCGATTTGCTCGACGCGTTAAACACGACGCGTAACTTAGTAGTCGTACTCGATTCGCGCAAAACGAAATGATGCGGAATGTACACCGGGGGGTATCGAGAAGGCTCGTCGTCGCGTACTTCTTCCATGTGCCCCATCGATTCGTATTCCGTGAGGAAATCGTGATACTGAGCGGCGATCTCGGGTTTCTGCGAGAGTCGGCGCTCCATTTTGGAGTATAAGAAAGAAGCCTTTTGAAAAGTGTCGCCTATGTGAGGGGGACCGTTCTTGAAAGGCAAACGAACAATGTAACGTCCTTGAGAATCGCGAGAATGCGTACTAGCGAAATGTTTTTCGCAACGTTCTTCCTCTTCGGTGAGAGGGTTTTGAGAAAGGATACTTTCGTCCTCCCAAAAACTTTGGATTAATGAATTCGTATCCTCGCAGGATACGCAATTCAAAACGGAAGCGGACTCTCCGGCTGGGCGCGCGGTGCCGGCAGGACCTGAGACAATCCATCCGAAAACAGTAAGCTGGCCCGTCGGAGTGTCGACCGGGCCTTGACGGAGGCCGTCGAGCAGCAGAGAATCGTATAAATCCGCGCCGATTAGTACATGAATCGGGCAATTACACGAGGGATCGGGATCTGCTAACGGTAAATCGCGTAGATGCGGCCACATTGCGGCTGGCTGTGTTTGAGAGGCTGTGTACGAAGTAATTCGTTGGTATACGTAGCCCGAAAATGGGAATATCGGTCCCTGTTTGTCGCATGGAGCGAGCGTGAGATTAACTTGAGATCGCGCGACTCCATTAAATTTCTCTCCAAAGCAATGTATTTTTAACGCGGCACGATAACGCTTGGTTCGCATAGTCTGACAAAGAGATTCGGGTATGAAACTGTATGTCGAGCCCTGATCTAGTAGCGCACGTACTTTGAATGAGCGGCCCTCGATAGTACTTAGATTAACATACGCAGTGGCGAGAAGTACATGAGGCGGTTGCGTTACATCTCGAATAGCATGCACGGTTTGAACGGACGCGGAGGGCGCGGCCGGAGGCTCGGGAGCAGCGGCGACGGACACAGCTGACGGCGCGGAGGACGGCGAATTAATCGCGGCTGTACCCTCGCTGTGAAGCAGCGAATGGTGAGCTTGCCGGCATCGATTGCAACGTCCTTTACTCGGACAATTCTTTAAATAATGCTCAGTCCTCAAACAGTTAAAGCAATATTTATGTTGTCGCGCGACGAGTCGACGCTGCTCAATCGGCAAACTTAGAAATTTATCACACCTTGTCAGACTATGATTTCCGGAACAACGGACGCATTTGACGGGCGACACATTATTAATCGACGTACGAGATTTGTTTCCGCGCGTATTGCTCGACGCGGAGTCGAATTGCGACGGATAATCCGTGAGGCCACGTATGCGAAGAGTTATGAAGTCATGAATCTCCTTGTACGTGGGGTATTCATCCGTACCGCCTCGCCTCAAATTCCATTCATTGCGCGTTCGCGGACTAAACTTTTGCGATATAATGTAAACTAGGAGGTCGTCCCACGTATCGACAGGACGCTCGAGATTCGTCAGAGCGGCGAGAGTTGCAGACACGTTATTGCGAAATTTTTTCAATTCGAGAACATTCTTGGTTTTCATTTTTGGTAAGTCGGCGAAAGAATGGATGTTCGCGTGAATTATCGCGTTACGGTTGTCGTACTCGTCGAGAAGAAGTTGCCACACTGCCTCGTAGTTCGCGTCAGAAATATGAATGTTATTAATTAACACGGCAGCCTCGTCGGAGAGGCTCGCCTTTAAGTAATGTAACTTTTGAGTCTTTGTGAGGGACTTGTTTTTGTCGACGAGTGACTCAAAAATTCCCCGAAAATTTTCCCATTCCGGGAAAGCACCCAAAAAGTTTGGAAGCGAAATACGAGGCAGATGCAATGACATGCCGGAGTGCGCGTCGCGATAAGATGATTCGTTACCTCGGGACGGCGCGCTCGGGGCGTCGTTACTTAATTTACCGATGATCTCGTGGAGATGATCCGCCGCGAAGTAGGCTTCCTCGGCGGCAAGAAGGTCGTCCTGTTGGAAGTAGGGAGTCGACTTCTTCTCCTCCGGGGTGGCCGTCTGTAGCAGCTGGACGTGGAGGGCTCGAACATTCTCCCAGAGGCCTTCTAAATTTGTCAGTCTTCCCTTCGTCTTTGGGAGAGTGACCTGAGCTTTGGGAAGCTTTTTAAAGTTTATCAGCGATCGCTTAAGTGTAGCAATCGCATCGCCTTGGGCAATTAGCAGATTTTTGAGATCCAGAGACATGTCAGCGAGATGGTTGGATCTTGTAGGCGAGGATCTGACACCTGTGTGTCAATCCGATCGAAGAACTGGTGCTCTTGAAGACTCCGCGGCGAGAAGCAGGGCGATCCTCGCGGGAGTCAGGGACGTCAGGCCCGTCTCCGCTTGCGACTCCGCGGCGAGCAGCAGGGCGATACTCGTGGGAGGCAGAGACGTCAGGCACGTCACAAGGCAGGGCGCCCGTCGGGCGGCGGTGAGCGTATTTCAGCACGATACGTTTTGCTGGAGGTCACGCAGGAGCCTCCGGAGCAGAGCGAAACCGGGTAGCACCGGGTTTTTTCGACACTGGTGGACACCTATCTTTAAGTGAGCGGGTGCAGAGCGCTCGGGTTGGTCGATCGAGAAGAGCGAAGACGCTCTTATGCGTTTCCGCGGCGAGCAGCAGGGCGATACTCGCGGGAAGCAGGGACGTACAGCACGTCGCAATGGCAGGGCGCCGGTCGGGCGGCGGATGCGTATCGCGATGATACGGTTGCTGGAGGTCGCACAGGAGCCTCCGAAGCACTTCACAATTCACAGGGCAATCTTTAGGAGAGCGGGTGCAGAGCGCTCAATGTACAGAGTAAGCCACGGAGTCACGAACGCGTATCGCGGAGTACCCGATGAACCGGGAATCAGATTCGATGTGCGACAGTTCGAACGGCAAACTCCGTTTGTGAGCGAGTCGAGTGGGCGCGACGGTCCGTTTGTCTCGGAGCACAACGCGATCACTAGGGAGGCGGTCGAACTGTCTATGCCGGTTTTTGATTTACACTATCCGGCTCGAAGGACCATTAAATGTTAAGTGGACCGCTCCGGGTTTTCGCGCGTCACGCCGAGGACAGTTCAAAATAATTAGGTTTTTGTTTTTGAAAATGTAACAGTCAATTTATTAAAGTTTGTTACACAGCACTCGCTAATACAATTCGCTCCGATTCGGCTCCGTTTTCGATGTCAACAATCAGTGTCGCGTACGAATGGCTAGGGTGCACTTGGCTCACTGGGCTCCCGGCCGGAGCAAGCGAAGCGATCGCGGCCGGAGCTCCGAACTTTTCCGCGAGGAAACTTCGATACGTGAGAAACGCTGATTGGCTCCAAATCGTCGAGCGACCAGACTATTGGTCGCTGTACGAGCGATCACGCGATGTGCACCATGTGTTCCGGGCGCGAGCGAAAACACCAAAAAAATCGGGGGAAAGGCAAATAAACGCGTTTTGGAGCAAATCGAGCGTTCTCGAATATTCCCAACGCTCGCTTTCACTTTGCGAGCGTTTGATTTTCAACATCTTGTTTAAATCAAATATAAAGAAGTTAGATTTAGAAATTTTTCAATCAAAAACTAGATCTTGTTTAATTTAACGTCGAAGGCAGATATTGATATTTAACTTAAATGATTAAACCCTGATTAGGCTTGAAAAAATCTTAGACCGACAAGTCTCACTAAATCTTACCTTACCTTAACAAACGAAATTGATTGAAATAGCACCTGATGTTAGTTAATAAAAACTGCTGAATAAAGTAAGACTGAAGTATGTCTATTATGTAAACAATTTTTTTATTAATTATTAATAAATTTTAAGTTATTAACAAGTTTTGAGCCTTTGCATCTATCGGAGATGGACAGAATGTTTCCACTCAATATGAAGACTGCTTATTTTAGATCTATTTATATAAGGATGCAGCTGATCAAGAGTCGATAAAGCTAATCTTCGTTAATTCTCATTCAAGAGTTGATAGAGCTAATTCTTGTTCACAAATACTGCGTCCAATCAAAAGTGCGTGATCAGCCGTTTAACTGAAGCAGTATAGATTTTAAACATTTTACAGAATGTAATACACGAAAACATAACAGATTGGTAACAAACAAAGACATAAGTAAGCTATTGATCTTCAGATCCTTATATAAGTAGTCTTTGTACTGCATTCTGTCCAATTCCAATAGATGCGGACGCTCAAAACTTTAACTTAAAATTCATTAATAATTAATAAAAAAATTGATTACATAATAAAAATACTTCAATCTTACTTTATTCAGCAGTTTTTATTAACTAAAATCTAGTGCTATTTTAATTAATTAATTTTAATTAATTTAGTGAGACTTTGTTAGTCTAAAGTATTTTCAAGCCTAAACAGGGTTTAAACATTTAAGTTTAATATCAATATTTATCTCCAATGTTAAATTAAATGAGATATCTAGTTTGATTGAAAATTTTCTAAATCTAACTTCTTTATGTTTGATTTAATAAAGGAAAATAAAAAATAACAAATCAAATTCAACAATTACATTTCATTTAACAAAAGCATCAAAATTGGTTTAAATTTCAGAAACACAAAGTTTCATTTAGCCTCACTATGCGCCGCCTGTCTTGCAACGTGACGGTGTTACGTCCACCCTCTCATACGCCCGGAAAATTTGAAACCTTTTTTAGATTACAGGAAGACTTCAGTTAGACCTTACTCATAAGAACAACGACTTACCGATAGTAGGATTACCACCGAATAAGTTACCATATTTACTAGCATGACTTACCGACAGTAGGATACCACCGAATAAGTTACCATATTTACTAGCATGACTTACCGACAGTAGGAT